CCACGTGTTGAAACATTCAAAGACAATCATCCTAACATCAATGACAGATTCATGCACAACGAAACATGTTCAAATCCGAAATAATACTTATTATGTTTATCATTTATTTGGGCAGGAGTATGAGATGACTTAGGGTACTGGTCTTTCTTGAAGCGACAGTACCGTGAGTGAGTGAGTTTGGTTTCACGCCTTTTTCCGTTGCATCGCCATAATATAACAGTGGATAATGAACATCGGAAGTAAACCAAAAGGATAAATTTAAATTTGCCTCTATGTTTTGAAATATCACAAATATATTTGTGTTATTTGGACATTTCGCTTTTCAAAACATATTATCTGACTGCTATAATATTCAGATTGTTTGAGAGGCATTACTTGGAAGTTGACGGATGACAAGGTAGAAACAACTTCATTGATAACTACAGTATTAAAGAAGTTGTTATCCATAAAATTGTGTCTACCTTATAATGTTCAGGAGACTTTATTGTAATTTGACATAAAAAATAATGTGCAGTGGGGGCGGTCGAGTAGCCTAGTGGTTAAAGCGTTCGCTCGTCACGCCGAAGACCCGGGTTCGATTCCCGACATGGGTACAATGTGTGAAGCCCATTTCTGGTGTCCCCCGCGTTGATATTGCTGGAATATTGCTAAAAGCGGCTTAAAACCATACTCACTCACTCACTAATGTGCAGTGAAAAGGGAAAGTCTTACAAGGACATATGTAACATGAATCCAGTTATATGCTTCTGGCTAGCGAAACGACATTAAATTGATATGTGTTTTATCCGTACATTTTTAGTAGTTTTAAGTAGAAAGTAAATCCATTTGTAATGCACACTGCGACTGACATTATACGTCTACCGTCGCTAACTAATGCTCTTTCAGGATCGTAAATACACCAGCTGTTTATGTATATAATGCGACATGTTTAAATCAGTAACAGGTCTTAAAGTGTTCATATATGTTAAGTCCCTCGCTATGGCTGCGTATAAGAATCTTTGCCATTACAGCAACTGTATACATAGGTTATAGCAGGTCATACCCTCATTGCTCCTTGATACTACATAATGATTAACACATTGCCACCCTCAAGATTTCACCCTGGGGCTGAAATGTCACAGTGCCAATCCCGCTGTGCCCGACCCCCGTCTCCCAGGTTTACTGTGCCCAGGCCACATGTCGCATGGGTTCAGCACACACTTGCCTTCCATTGCCCCAGGCTATTCAGTGCGGGCCAGAACACTCACTCAGTTGTTTTTGTAGATTTTCACTGGACATTAAAAAGCTGCTCTAACTTTGTATATGTTTTAAATGAACTATTAAAATAAAAGGCATTCTGCAAAAGATTAAAACGCAAGTCATCCTAAACAGGACAATTCAATAAAGCAAGGTCTTCTGTCAAACTGCTCTGACATAAGGGGCATATATGTTGATCGACAGGAAGGGTATGATATCGCCCGTCTGAACAGTGAGTGAGTGAGTGAGTATGGTTTTACGCCGCTTTTAGCAATATTCCAGCAATATCACGGCGGGGGACACCAGAAATGGGCTTCACACATTGTACCCATGTCGGGAATCGAACCCGGGTCTTCGGCGTGACGAGCGAACGCTTTAACCACTAGGCTACCCGACCGCCCCTCCGTCTGAACAGCGACCTCTCAGAGCAATGATGTTACCTGTGGTGAGATGTGACTTGATTCTGAGGTTCATCATCCACGAATTCTTTGGAATGGACGTAAGCAAGTCCCGTCCATCTGGTTGCATGACCTCTGCAGGGGCTAGGACTAATGTCATTTAATGTCATCAATTCAGTACCGGGTCCCGTTTCGCGAGGAGAGCTTAACAATACGACTATCGTAAGTCTGTGTTAAAGTATGGGAGTTAGGATAGCGACAGGATCGCTTTGTGGAATATCGTCTTACCGGCGGGCGAGAACACTCACAAGTGTCCTGAAATCTCTGTACAATGTACTACACGACCAATTGTATATTTTGAGAACGGAACCTGAGCTAGGGAAATCTACGTTATATGTATGTTCAAGAGAAGTGAGAAAGTTGAATTGAGATACAGTAATAACGAACTCAAAGGGGCCACTAATTATAGTTCGTTATACCCGTAGTTCGTTATGAGCATATATACATCATATATATAGCAAATGGCCGTGACCAAAACTATACGTTCGTTACATCCGTCAGTTCCTTATAAGCGTGTTTGTTATAAACGTAGTTTGCTGTAATTTAATCACAGTTTAATACGACACAGGTCGTAGAGGTTTACCACATTGGTAAAGCCAAAGAGCAAATGATATGATGCTGCGAAACAATTCATCAGAAACGGGTCGAATGTTGGATTCGAACCATGGCCGTCTGGCCCCTGAATGTCTGTGACTCTGCTCAAGGTAGCTGTATTTAGGAACAAGACAAGTACGATGGATATATCTGTGTTCTGCATCGCAGCAAGTTAAAGTTCATATATGCAAATGCCAAATATACGAGGTGCGTTCAATAAGTTTTGCAACTTGGGCATTTGTGTTTACACAAAAAATGTCAACTTGTGGCAGGTGTGACACTAGTCAACATCAGGTTGACACGTGTCATAACAAGTTCCAGACACAACAATTAGTTAGATGTGATGGCTTCATTCACCTAAGGGTGGTCACAATCATGGATTCTCTCAAACATGAACAACGCGCTGTAATAAAGTTCCTTACCAAGGAGGGATGCAAACCGTGTGCGACATACGCTTGCAGTCGGAAAGGGCACGTTAAATCTTCAATATAAGTAAGTAAGGGATGCGAGGCAAAAGAAATCCATGATAGGTAAGGATGCCCCTGACTATTCCACAGTTTGCCGTTGGTCTCTACAGTTTAAAAGGGGTAGGGAGTCCGTAGACGATGACCCAAGGTCAGGCAGGCCTTTAGATGCCACTAAAACCGGAAACCATTGCTGCTATAGAAAGAAGAATGTTGTCTGACCGACGAGTGAAAGTATCTGAACTTTCTAGGGAATTCCAAATATCAGTTGGAACTGTAGGAACCATTATTCATAGCATCTTGGTATGTCCAAGGTTTCTGCAAGATGGGTACCTAGAAACATCAAAGCTCAAGATCGCCATCAGAGGACTAGGAGTTGTCGAGACCTCCTGGATCTCTATACTGCTGATGAAGCCGGATTTCTTTCACGTTTTGTGACAGTTGATGAAACATGGATCCACCACTGGGACCCAGAAACTAAATTGGAATCCATGCAATGGAAGCACCCCAATTCTCCGCCTCCAAGGAAATTTCGCACTTAACCATCGGCTGGCAAGGTAATGGCCACCATATGTTAGGATGCAAGAGGCATATTACTGATTGATTACGCGCCACCAAAAACTACAATCAATGGACAGTATTATGCTAATGTAATGAAAAAATTGCGAAAATCTAATCGCCAGAAACGCCGTGGGATGTTAACACGTGGTATTCTACTCTTGCATGACAATGCACCGGTTCACAAGTCGAGAATTGCACAGGACGCCATATGTGAATGTGGATTCGAACAGTTAAATCACCCACCCTACACCCCTGGTGACTATTTCCTGTTCCGGCAAATGAAATCTGCCCAACGTGGAAGACGCTTCCAGGATGACGAGGACATAAAGGCTGCCACAGAGGCGTGGTTCGAGGGCCAATCTGCAGATTTCTATAAAAGTGGTATTAAAAGCTTGAAAGACAAATAGAATAAGTGTATTGAGGTGAATGGAGATTATATTGAAAATTAAAAGTGCAAAAGATATTCTGCGACTTGGTCTTATATTGAAGTTGCAAAACGTATTGAACGCCCCTCGTACAACGTCAACGCTAGTGGTGTAGTTCATGCTGTCGACAATGACGTTGTGTGATCTTACCACGTTTTGTTGTGAAACACGAACCAAACGTGTAGAATCGCAAGGACGTCTTTATGACTAGAAATGCATTTACTTTTGCGAGTAGTGGTCAGCAGTGGTGTGCTAACGTTAAAGTGCATTTATTGATTTAAATGAGTGTGTAGTGAGTGAATTATTTCAATAACGAATGTAAAATTGAATGAGTTAAATAATGGTTTGCTGAGTTCAAATTTTGGTCCTTTCTGGTGTCCCCCGATGTGATATTGCTGGAATATTGCTAAAAGTGGCGTAAAAAATACTCATTCACTCAAGTTTTGGTGCCATGTTTTGTCTTCCGATAAATTGTATTCAATCCATCATTAGTCCATGCGATTATTGTATATATATTTTGTTTCCCGTCTTATTCAGCAATATTCCAGCTAAAATACGGTGGCTTAATGTTGTAGGAGTTAACAACATTTAGAATTAACAATGTTGTATCCAATTAATTGTGAGGCTGATCCTATTGCACACAATAATAACGTTTTCCTCGCCTTATAGAAGAAGGTTTAACTATCAATTCACATCTGCAATAACTACAAATACACATCAGAAGCTTTCACGCGTGGAGTTATATGCTGCATGTGAGCTATGCGAGCGCTTTCTGCACATGGCAGGGATAGTACATACTAGGCTTCGATACAATGTATAAACCTTGTAAAGTCCTGCAGATGACATTGAGTATCGTGCATGACAGCATCAAATTCTCACTTTTAAGAAAAAAACATTTCAACATATTTCGTGAATCAGCAAACCAGTGAAATGTTTCTACACAACCAATCAGCTGCAAGACTTCCAATAATGCACATCATCTGCTGACAAACATTTCGTTTTAGTATGCCACGTCCCGATAGCAACCACGTCCCAATAAAATCACGCGTTCTGCATTCAATAAATTTATCGCAAGCGTAAATAGGTTAAGTAGCAATCGTACTGCCTGAATATGCAAAACATGGATGCGGCAAATAATTAAATACACGTTTTATGGCGATGCTGACATATGTCACTACGACAACATCTTAAAAAACCAACATCTGACTTTATAACCAACGCTTTACGTTCGATATTACCCTTGAGTAAATAGACGTACTTACGTTGGGAGCCTTGTTTCCCGCATATCCTTGATGTAAGAAGATGGGCAAAAAGAACACAACTAAACTATTCATCTTAGTAGTTATCCGCTAGGACATATGTATGTCTGTAATAAAGTGTCAAAATCTTGTTCCGCGTGCGACACACGTCTCTCCCGATCCCTACGCGCCAGGCACTATTTCCTTCCGCGGACGAACACAATCAAGCTGCGATTGGCCAAACGACGTTAAGTGGGGTCGCTGTTACGATATTACTTCAAGATTTCGGAAAATAGAGTAAACCTCCGAAATGCACATGTGTTCCAGTCCAATTCAGACAATGCAGATGCATGAACCGGCAGTGTAAACGGTCCCATGCGTCTTCCGCTGTTAATGTTTCAGACCTGGTTTGTAATGAAATGAAAATATAACATTACAAAACTTCTTCCGTATGGTGGCGGATGTGACATTTTCTCAAAGCAGGACATTGGAAACTAAATGGACATAATTCAAGCCTTTTAGAATTTCGCTGTTAATTCCAACACAGGAAAGTGCAAAAATAATCGAAACTATTCGACCATCCGTTCCTAAAGGTTAATAAGATTTTCAAATTACATATCGAATCTAGCACAAATATGTCGAGAATATTGCATATGCTCTGCATACATAAATATATAACGTCAACGCCAGACTATAACTTGTCTCGATTAACCGCCAAAACAGAATCCATCTGTCGTAAAAGACAAAATAGAAGCGAAAATATTAATGATGACACCAGGTGTTCGCAAAACGGGTAAGGCGGTCCTGTTGTTACTACGACAATTGTTTGATAGCCATAACTTAGAAGTTGGCGGATGGTAACGTGGACACAATTTATGGATGACCACTTCTTTATTTACTGTAATTGCGACGTTTCGGTACAGATAATTCCGAAACGTCGCCTTTACAGTAAATACAGAAGTTGTCATCCATAAATTGTGTCTACTTTGCTTTACGAAGTCGTCAGTTTGTCGATGGATTCATGACCACGTTAAGACTGACGCAGAACCAGTAACACAGATATGGCGGTATCGAATGTTTCTCTATGGATGTCGGGGCTTCACGCTCTTTATTGAGGTGAGGTGAAATTCGGTTTAACGTCGCGTCCAAGATTTTTGCACTTATATAGCATGCATTATATATATGTGTGTGTGTGTGTGGCTGCTTGTACTAGTCCGGACTGATGCCGATTTATAGTGCTAGCACACTGAGATACCATGCCGCAGTTTAACATGAATACCCCACTCAGGCACAGTATACTGACTCCGAGCCGACCAGTCCTTGTTTTAGCGGCTTAATCCCGAGCGCCAGACTGGTAACAACAAGTACCATCTTTTAACGTCTATTGGTATGACGCGGCTGGGGATCGAACCCCGGACCTTTCGCGGACGCTGACCTTGAGCTAAGGAAATCTGTGTTATGTGTATGTTCAAGTGAAGTGAGAAAGTTGAGCCGACGTAATTTAATCACAGTTTAATACGACACAGGTCGTAGAGGTTTACCACATTGATAAAGCCAAAGAGTAAATGATATAATGCTGAGAAATGATGGATCAAAAACGGGTCGAATGTTGGATTCGAACCCAGGAAGGTCTGGCCCCTGAGTGCCCGTGACTCTGCTCAAGGTAGCTGTATTTAGGAACAAGACACGTACGCAGCATTTTAAAGTTTATAATGTAAATGCCAAATATAAAACGTCAGAAGATAATCTGTCTCGTTAAAGGAAGGTGAGGTGAAATGGGGTTTAACGTCGCGTCCAAGATTATTGCACTTATAGAGCGACGTGCATGCACGTGTGTGTGTGTGTGTGTGTGTGTGTGTGTGTGTGTGTGTGTGTGTGTGTGTGTGTGTGTGTGTGTGTGTGTGTGTGTGTGTGTGTGTGTGGCTGCTTGTACAAGACCGGACTGATGCCGATTTATAGTGCTAGCTCACTCAGATACCATGCCGCAGTTTAACATGAATACCCCACTCAGACACAGTATACTGACTCCGAGCCGACCAGTCCTTGTTTTAGCGGCTTAATGCCGAACGCCGGACTGGTACCATCTTTTAACGTCTCCGGGCGGACGCTCTACCACTAGACCACGGAGGCGGTCTCCGGGCGGACGCTCTACCACTAGACCACGGAGGCGGTCCGGTAAAGGAAGAGAATTGGTGGCAATGGTATGGATGGATAACCGATGACACCAGGTGTTCGCGAAAAGGTTATGCATGTCCTCTACTGTAGTCCTGAATTCACAGTTCGCTTAAAGTGCTTGTTTGTTGCAAAAATGTGAAAACAACTAAGAAATCAAACAATCAGCAAACAAAGATCATGTATTTTCTGTATGATAATTCTTATGTTGGTGACATTCATGACCATGAGAGATTTCTAAGAAGGTCAAACCTCATTCAACACAAGTCTTTGTCACACATGTATGTATATGTATATCTGCGTCTTTGTTTCTGTTGCACATGGATAAGACACATGGTGCCACTGTAAACAGGATACATAGATCTCAACGAAGATAAACGAAAGTGTTACCATTATGTGTATATATGTAAATGCACTAACATAAGGCAGCAACGTGTCACAGAAGCTCCCCACACTGCGTTACACGACACGAGCTTTGATGTAGTTCCTGCTTATAACAATAGGTAAACCTAGATGGCTCCACACATCGCCCATGTGTGTGTGGACGCAACGTAGTGTCTTGTTGCCAGGCTGTAATATAAGTCCAGAGTCCACTTCAGATTAACGACAAACAGGCTTCTAGGGCTTTCAATTTGGTGAAACCAGACATGTTAAGTGTTTTTGTCGTAGTTGTCTAAGACTAACATCATGGCACAAACAAAATGAGCGTCGTGAAATATCTGCTTTAAAGAATAGAAATATAAAGGATATTTTTATGATAAATATATCCAATTAATGACACACAGAGCATATTCTGTAGAGAAGAACCAGCAGGTAGGCCCGTGCTGACATATTTTATTCACTGAGCAAATAGTACAGCAGACATGTAGTTCCCATGGTGTTTATCCTATCCTAAACGGCTGGCAGGTCCTGATGTTGTAGCCCTTACACTCGAAGCCCGTGCAACATCGTCCGCCCTGTCCACACACCTGGTTGGCGGACAGACACTGCGAACACAAAACAACAAATTGAGTGAGTGAGTGAGTTGGGTTTAACGCCGATTTTAACAGTATTCCAGTTATATCGCGGCGTGTCAGTTTAATGTGGGAGGAAAGCCCGAAGTGATGCAGGTCTCAGAAGTTTACCACTTCGGTGAAACCCATGAGCACGGGTATGGTGCTGACCAACCTAGAAACATAATCGGGCTGAACCGGGATTCGAAGCAAACATTATAGGTTTCTTGCGTGCCCAAGGGACGCAATTCTGCACAGCGAATCGCGGCGCCTTAGACGACTGGGCCACCCGCGCCCTCAAAAACAACAAACCAACAAAACAACAAAACGTAGTATAGGAATAAATTATACTGTGCAGGTAACGCACTCCGACAGCGGAGGCTGTAATTGTGGTTCATGCCATCGACCACTGGTTTGCCTGGCCCAGATTACCTTTTTTACAGGCCGTCGTGGTCTGGCCACAATTGTTTGATGCTTAGATTGCTTGACGTTGTTTGAAACCGTTATTCTTTTGTTAAGTTCGTCAATCGATGGTACGATTTCGCTAACAATGTCCATTAACCAGTCATTAACAATGTCGTATTCGCCTTCTCAGATATTTAAGATATTCTACAAGAGCCTCAAAATGCATAAACCTTATAACCAACAGGCAAGCTTGTTGCAAGTCGCATGTAATTTATATAAGGCATATTATGTCAATGTTTGATCGTGCGCCATATTATGAAAGAAACGGCGCCAGTGAGATAATAAATAGTTCTATGAACTACGCTCAAGCAATTATAAAACAAATATTGATTGGCTTACATTTCCACCATTCAATGGGTTTCCATTGTTCAATCCGTTTCCATTTCCACTGATTCCGTTATTAATGAAAGAAGGCATACCGGCGGCACACGTCACCAGGGCGCATAGCGCGAGGAGAATAAGAGGCGACATTCTGAAAAATTAAACCCATTAATAACATAATGACAAATGTTGAATGAGTGAGTAGATAAGTTGGGTTTCACGCCGTTCTGAATAGTATTCCAGTTATATCACGGCGTGTCAGCTTAATGTGGGAGAAAAGCCAGGAGTGAGGCACATCTCAGACTTTTAACCATTCTGGTGAAACCCACGAGCACGGGTGTGGTGTTGACAAACCTTATCAGGGCGACCTTGGATTCGACCCAAAGGTTTCTGGAGGGACACAATTCTGCATAGCGAATTGCAACGCCATCCGTGCCCCAAAATATTGCATGAACTAATAATAATGATAGTATTTAAAATAAAAAATATTAGGGGTTCGATCCCCGGCCGCGTTATATACCAAAGGACGTCAAAAGATGGTACTTGTTGTTACCCTGTCTGGCGCTCGGCATTAAGGGGCTAAAACAAGGACTGGTCGCCTCGGAGTCAGTATTCTGTGTCTGAGTGGGGTATTCATGTTAAACTGCGGCATGGTATCTCAGTAGACTAGTACTATAACACCGGTATTAGTCCGGACTATTACAAGCAGCCACACACACACACACACACACGCACACACGCGCGCGCGCACACACACACACACACATGTCGCTATATAAGTAAAATAATCTTTAACGCGACGTCAAACCCCAATCACGTCACCTCACCTGTTACCCAAACCGTGAACTACACCTGAGTTGTGACAGAATCAAATTCTACGCCATTTCTAGAAATATTTCATCCATCTCATGGCAGGGGACGGAACACATAATGTCGCAGTGTAAGACGACGTTAGTTTTACACAGTCCGTTAACGTACTAAAGCCATAACATACTTATCTTTGAACCAAACGGGTGTACATGTATACGTACTTACCTTCAATATATCTGCAGCAGTGTGAGACAATGATTAAATGCATGACCACAGCCATTTATAGGGTACGGAGAAGAACGTGTTGCAACAGCCGTTCTAATTGAACAGGAGTGAGTGACAAGGTAGTGTTATCATCCTGTCATCATCTTTTAATCCTGTCGTCATCTTGTCAGTCTATGACGCGATCATTCATGATAGTGACGCCTGGTGATCAGCACACACGTGGAACCCCATCACTGAAGATGACGAGCACTGATAATACCTGACGAAGCTCCATGGAGTTGAAATCCTTGTCGACAGATTCATTACATGTGACCATGAGGAAAATATTGTAAAGGGAACTTTGTTGTAGGAAACTTTGTCGTGGAGCACCAATTGTACATTGGATATGAATATAGACATATTTTGAACTATTATTTAATGTATCATATTCTTCCAAAAGTCTGACAAGAATGTGGCTACTTTTGCCGTTCATTGACTGTACTAATTTTCTTTTGTGGGATAGGTATAATAATCAGGTAAGTATTTGATTTTTATTTCTTCATAATCGGGACATTCTTGTTAGACATAAAATTCATATTCTTGTAATTTTTGCAACATCTTACAGTTGTTTTTTTACGATTCCATATATGCTTCTTTGTAGTGTACTTGTGTAACCATGTATGCTTTTACCGAGCAATGAAGAAGTATATTTCGGGCCATTGTGCTAGATGCGTTTTTGATGTCATCAAAAATACAGTAAAAACTTCCATGCTTCTTTCTGATGATATGTATACGTTAGTGAATTTATAGTTAATATGTGATCAGTCGTCTCTAAACCCTGCTCAGCGTTCTCAGAATATCTGCCCAGTGGAAACCTGAACGTTTATCGCGTTTGTCTTCGTGGTGATATAGCCACAAGGGATTGGTTCCCATAAAGTGTTAAAAAAACAAAGATGAAAAAGTCAAAGAAACTCAAACTGCATAGGAATTACAAAAGAACGCATGCAAGTGTGTCAGTACGTACACCTCAAGGTATTGTTATAAATACGTGGCTGCCCAAGGTGAGTCAGTGGCAAGACTGACACACATATGCATGTCCCAACTTAGAAAGTATCAAGAAGATCAAGATGGGTATTCCTTCAATTCTATATTGAGTCAAATATTTACAAACCTTTCAAATAATCACTATTAATACAGAGTTTTCGTATTTACAGAATAACAAACGAGATATTAGGAATTGCGGAATATCCCGAATAAATGTATGGTGCACGTGTAAGCGACTGACACGCCTGGAAGAACGCAGGTACTCACAGAACATATGGGAGGCCACCCGGTCAAAAAATACAAAGTTGAAATACAGGACAAATGTATGCAATAGTAGTCAAATGTTACGAATACAGAAGGAATGTTACAAATAAAGGTCATTATCAAGATACGAATAATGAACTCAAAATACAACACGATACCAATGAACAACTCGCAAACCTAAAACATATCTAAAGAAAGAACGATGTGTTCCAAAGAACATCAGTGCACAAAAAGGACAGCGTTGACAATAAAGAACGCCAGATGGCGCTGCAATTTGTAAAATATTCCGAGTTAAATCAGCTTGTTCCTCCGTGTATTTGATAAATGCATGCTGAAGTACTCAATGTTTTACGTTCCTCGTGCACTCATCGTGTATATGTTCTATCTATAGATGTTGCGTTTTTGTATCGGGTGTTCCAACATCGTCACCGGAAAAGCGTCACTTTTGATAAATAGTACACAGTGTGTATTCCGACATCTGTCTAATTGCTTGTTTGTTGTTTAACGCCGCACTCAGAAATGTTCCAGTTATATGACGCCGGTCTGTAAATAATCGAATCTGGACCAGACAATCCAGTAATTGCCATCATGAGCATCGAACCCGCAATTGGGATACGATAACATACATATGCCTCTTACGACAAGCATTGTCTCCTTTTACAGCAAGCATGGGTTGCTGAAGAACAGATCCATCTTCACGGGTCCTCTGTCTAATTAGTACATGCATTTAGTACACAACCTTCAATAAACACTAAATGTAACGCTTAACATACATGTAGGTCGCTGAGATCATTGAAACGACAATGGGACAAAATACCTTAACGGTCTAACAAACCTAACAAATCTCGGACAGTATTTGGCAGTGACTCTTTTTCAAATCGGCTTAATATTTGCAGTCATATTTACACCATCAGACAGGAAAGTTATCATTTCACATTTCTCACAATTAATATTATTGCTATGATAGTCCGACTGAAGGGGTCGTTGTCGGCATGAGTACTACAGATATGTACCCCAGGTAAGTTCTGTATACAGATATGTACCCCAGGTAAGTTTCTGTATACAGATAAGTACCCCAGGTAAGTTTCTGTATACAGACATGTACTCCAGGTAAGTTTCTGTATACAGATATGTACCCCAGGTAAGTTTCTGTATACAGATATGTACCCCAGGTAAGTTTCTGTATACAGACATGTACTCCAGGTAAGTTTCTGTATACAGACATGTACTCCAGGTAAGTTTCTGTATACAGACATGTACTCCAGGTAAGTTTCTGTATACAGATATGTACCCCAGGTAAGTTTCTGTATACAGACATGTACTCCAGGTAAGTTTCTGTATACAGACATGTACTCCAGGTAAGTTTCTGTATACAGATATGTACCCCAGGTAAGTTTCTGTATACAGACATGTACTCCAGGTAAGTTTCTGTATACAGACATGTACTCCAGGTAAGTGTCTGTATACAGATAAGTACTCCAGGTAAGTTTCTGTATACAGATATGTACCCCAGGTAAGTTTCTGTATACAGACATGTACTCCAGGTAAGTTTCTGTATACAGATAAGTACTCCAGGTAAGTTTCTGTATACAGATATGTACCCCAGGTAAGTTTCTGTATACAGACATGTACTCCAGGTAAGTTTCTGTATACAGACATGTACTCCAGGTAAGTTTCTGTATACAGACATGTACTCCAGGTAAGTTTCTGTATACAGATAAGTACTCCAGGTAAGTTTATGTATACAGATAAGTACTCCAGGTAAGTTTCTGTATACAGACAAGTACTCCAGGTAAGTTTCTGTATACAGATAAGTACTCCAGGTAAGTTTATGTATACAGATAAGTATCCCAGGTAAGTTTCTGTATACAGATAAGTACTCCAGGTAAGTTTCTGTATACAGATAAGTACTCCAGGTAAGTTTCTGTATACAGACATGTACTCCAGGTAAGTGTCTGTATACAGATAAGTACTCCAGGTAAGTTTCTGTATACAGATATGTACCCCAGGTAAGTTTCTGTATACAGATAAGTACTCCAGGTAAGTTTCTGTATACAGATAAGTACTCCAGGTAAGTTTCTGTACACAGATAAGTACCCCAGGTAAGTTTCTGTATACAGATAAGTACCCCAGGTAAGTTTCTGTACACAGATAAGTACTCCAGGTAAGTTTCTGTACACAGATAAGTACCCCAGGTAAGTTTCTGTATACAGATAAGTACTCCAGGTAAGTTTCTGTACACAGATAAGTACTCCAGGTAAGTTTCTGTACACAGATAAGTACTCCAGGTAAGTTTCTGTACACAGATAAGTACCCCAGGTAAGTTTCTGTATACAGATAAGTACCCCAGGTAAGTTTCTGTATACAGATAAGTACTCCAGGTAAGTGTCTGTATACAGAAATGTGCCCTATCCAAAATATGAATACAGAATATTGAGTTGCAAAACGAACACATTTCTTAACTTTTTTCTTTACTTATAAGCGCCAAAATCTCTGCACATACCGTTTTTATTAGTTTGAACAATATCAGTAATGGTACTCTCGTGTCACTGGATTTTCTTCTTCATCCATCTGCCTTGTTTACGTCGCATGGCAGGCACTCAACATTTAATTTTAATGCTAATTGTATGAATGACCTGTTGCTATCGATAGGGCAGGACATGCTTACCCTTTTCGCGAACACCTGGTGTTATTACTGATTTTCAGAAGTCCATTCAATTAATTTCCACAGCTTTTTGCCCTTTACGCCAAGTGGAATCTGTTTCCGCAGAAAATCTAGGTTAGTTATTCTCTTGCATTGGCAATTAATATTTAATTAGTCCTACGTGTTTCCTAGCTTTAGTCACGTGGTATATGTGTCCTATCCAATATCCTCCAGGTGTTCTCTATCACCTGTTTTGTACGTGCCCACATCACCTGCTGCGACGTGACTACACATTAAAGGCGCACCATAAAGAGCTACAGACACAATAACAGGTTGGGTTTCAGGTTCACAGTATTCCAAACCAAATGTTACAGTCGTTTGGAAAGTGAAACGTATCCTCTATTACACAATTGGACGATATTGCGTCAAAGTTGCCCACGTGCCGGATACACGTTATATTTGTTTATTTTTAGGTTTCCTGAAAAGGTGTACGATTTGTTATTAAAATGCAAACAAGAGCAACGGCTACATTCAGCAGCTCAGTGTCATTTGTGGTTTACTGTGACCTTCAAGAGAAACACATTTTGTACAGATTATAGCCATAGCCAAAAACACACATTTCTCTGTGTACAAATCCGAGGGGGCACGGGTGGCCCAGTCGTCTAAGGCGCCGCGATTCGCTGTGCAGAGTTGCGTCCCTTGGGCATGCCAGGAACCTATGATTGTGGGTTCGAATACCGGTTCGCCCCGATTATGTTTGTAGGTTTGTCAGCACCATACCCGTGCTCGTGGGTTTCACCGAAGTGGTAAACGTCCAAGACCTGCATCACTTCGGGCTTTCCTCCCACATGAAGCAGACACGCCGTGATATAACTGGAATACTGTTAAAAGCGGCGTT